GTCTGGAACAAGTTCATATACTAGTACATGAACAATATATACAAGGTCATTTACAGTTGTCAACAAGTCCATGGAATACCCCTATCTTTGTTATTAAAAAGAAGTCGGGGAAGTATCGCTTAATACATGATTTGCGGGCTGTAAATGAACAAATGGAGCCTACGGGAGCCTTACAACCAGGATTACCTAATCCGGCTATGTTGCCAAGAGACTGGCCACTTTTGATTATTGATCTTAAGGACTGCTTTTTTACTATTGCTCTTCACCCTCTAGACACTCAGAGGTTTGCCTTTACTGTGCCAGCTTTAAACAGGGAAGAGCCAGACCAGAGGTTTGAATGGATTTCTCTTCCGCAGGGGATGCGCAACAGCCCTACTTTGTGTCAACTGTATGTTGACAATGCTTTACAACCTTTGCGGCAAGCCTGGCCTGAAACAATCATTTATCATTACATGGAGGATATTTTATTTGCGCAGCCACAACCTTTTATAGGTCAACAAATTCAAAAGATACATGATGCATTGAAGCTACATGGATTGGCTGTAGCTCCTGAAAAAATTCAATTATCTGCGCCTTGGAAATATCTAGGATGGATACTTACTGACCAAATTGTTACCCCCCAGAAATTGCAATTAAATATTAAAATACATACACTGCATGATGCTCAAAAGTTACTTGGAGATCTGCAATGGCTGCGCCCTATTGTAGGCATCCCTAATGAACTATTAGATGAACTTCGACCTTTGCTGAAAGGAACTGATCCAGCACAGCCTGTTCATGTAACCTCTGAGCAGGTTAAGACACTGCAACAGATACTGGACTGTGTGACGCAAGGCAGTGTTCGGAGACGCGATCTTAACCTCCCCATACAGCTGACAGCTTGGTGTGGAACTAAATTTTTACTGGGTGCACTTACTCAGCAAGACAGAAAAACGGGGGAGGTGTGGGCCTTGGAATGGATATCTCCTCCACTTCAACAGCATAAAACCCTTCTTCAAAAAATTGAAATTTTGGGTGATTTGCTCAAAAAGTGTCATGAACGGGCGTTACAGATTACAGGAAAGGAACCTGATCAGATACGGATACCAATGAAGAAGGATACATTGACCTGGTACCTGACAAACAGTATGGAATTACAAGAGGCTCTGTTGGGAGCCGGTAGTGTGATTGCCACTGATGATATTCCCAATATACTGTTGAATGGGATAGGACAGTGGGGTTGGATTCAATGCCCAAAAAGATCACAAAAGCCCTTATTGGATGCTATAACAGTTTATACGGATGCAGGAAGAAAATCCAAAACTGCTGCAGTGACCTGGCAGGAAGAGGGACAATGGCACCATCAAATACTCCAGGCTACCGAGTTGGATACCTTACAAACGATGGAGCTATTGGCTGTTGTATGGGCCATGATGCATTTCTCTGGGCCTCTCAACATAGTGACAGATTCTTTGTATGTTGCAGGAGTGTGTGAGCGAATAGAAGATGCTTCTATAAAAGAGGTTCAAAACAGGAGGTTACATGAACTGTTTATACAGTTGCAGAGGGCAATTAAGCTGAGGAAGCATTCTTTTTTCTGTTATCCATATCAGAAGTCACAAATGGGATATTGGTCTGGGAGAGGGTAACGCACGAGCAGATAAGCTAGTCTCAATCACACAAGCAACTCCAATTCCCAGGCAGACTATAGCCAGAGAGGCACATTCCATGTTCCACCAAAATGCAAAAGGCCTCCATAGAGAATTTCAGATATCTATGGAAGAGGCACAGGCAATAGTCAAAGCCTGTCCCATATGTAGTCATCATGATGGGGGCTGCGGGTTAGGTCTGGGAGTTAACTCAAGAGGGCTGAACACAAATGAGACCTGGCAAATGGATGTCACACATGTTGCTGAGTTTGGGAGGATGAAGTATGTGCATGTTACTATAGACACTTACAGTCATTTTATATGGGCCACAGCACAAACTGGTGAGAAAGCAGGGCAGGTGGAGAGACATCTCAGCAGTTGTTTTGCAGTAATGGGAGTGCCACAGCGCATCAAGACAGATAATGGGCCTGCCTACTGCAGCAAAAGAATAAAGCAATTCATTCAAATGTGGGGGATAGAACACATGACAGGCATCCCTAATTCTCCTACAGGGCAAGCAATCGTAGAGAGAGCAAATGGTACCTTGAAAAGATATTTGAGTAAATACACAGATATCAGAGAGCCACAAGAAAGATTGTTAAAGTGTTTATTTATTTTAAATCACTTGTGTGTTTTTGGGGAAAGTAAAGTTCCTGCTGTAATTCATCACTATGTACAAGAAAAAGGTGGTGTGAAGCAAGATGTATGGGTAAGATACAGAGATCCTAAAACAGGACAATGGCAAGGTCCTCCTGCTAAGGTGTTATATTGGGGCCGTGGATATCTTTGTGTTTCTACCCCTACAGGACCTCTGTGGGTACCTGCTAAATGGACCCGAGCAGCTGTGTTAGATGGAACGCCTCGATCAACTGAGCAAAGAAGATCGTCAGCGAGTGGGGACAAAGCTGTTGATCATTCTTCGACCAATACTTCTTAAACTGAAAGGGCAGTGTGATTTTGCCATTGACCAAGCGGTTGATCGGTGCAAATCTGTTGATAATATATTAAGCTTGCTTTCGGTGCTTTCTACATTTGAATCTAGAGGGCCTAAGATTTTAGCTTGTATTAAGTGCCAAAATAGACATTGTGCTGCATGGATACTGTTTTTGTGGGGGTTGTCTGGAAACTAAGTGGGTGCATCAATCCCTATTACCTGAATTGTGATGTAGAAGCTGTGATTTCTATTGGCGGTTAAACTCCTGGCAGAGAGAACTTAAAGCATTTACAGGGCTACCTGGCCGCCAAGGGTTACAATTGTATGAATCCCCAGAACAGAAAATCCTTGCATGGTTTAGGTGGGAAACCCAGCACTTAGTCAAACGTGCTTTAGGGTAATCTCAATCGTGTATTTTACAGTCTAAATGTGGTCAGGGTATTCCCCTGTCACAGTCAAGTGTGATAGGTCCTATTTTAGGAAGTCAGGATACCAACCAAGTGTGGGATGATTGTTTGAAAGACCTAAAGGGGTTAAATCTGGGCAGGTCAAAGGGAAAGGAGAGAAGAGGAAAAAAGAGATATTCTTAAAGGTGACAGACATGTTTGTTTCCAAAATGTCTGGGTGGCCAAAAGTAGTGCCTGGAAAGATCAGGGTGAAGTGGAAACCTTATGGTATTACTTTATTAATCTTTGCTCTTTTTGTGGACAGTGCAGACCATCAAGCATGGACCCCACTTCAGCCCAAGACTAACATCTGGGTCACCCTGGCAAACTTAACTAACCAGGAGGCTGTTTGCCTGTCATTATCCTCTCCCGGTAATCCATTTACAACCTGTTTGGTTGGGTTACCAGCAGATCCCTGGCCATGCCCCTCACATGTACCCACCTGTAGAGTCAACAATGCAGGGCAAGTGTAGATAATTGAGACCAATGGGTTTCCTTTTTTCCCATAGCACCACAGGAGCCCCAAGAATTGGAGCTGTTAGGTTCAGTGATGGCAGACTCAAGAACCATTCCAATATTGTAACTTCCAGCATGGCTGTCTACCATAATGCAACAGCCTGGTGCAATTATACCACAAAGAAAATGTCAATCTCATCAAATGACCCTATTCAATTGCCAGCAGGCTACTTCCTGATATGTGGGGACTGTGCTTGGCCTGGTATCCCATCAATGCTGCACGGGGGACCGTGTACAATTGGACAGCTGTCTCTACTTACACCTAACACGTCCATGATACTGAACATGAGCCACTGCCATCAATGAAATAAACGAATGGCTCATACATTGACCTTTACTTTCTGAATTCCCATCCCAGTAACAGGATTTTGGGCAGTGTAAAGTTTTACAATTTGATTTACTCCATAAAATTTCTTGGCCACATGTTCTGCACATCCCTTTCCTCCCTCACAAGCATTTGTTACCTGCATGAGACAAAGCAGCTGAGGTAAGGCACAGACACCAGGTAGAAACAACCAGCTAGTGCAGGAGGACAAGGAGCTGTGCACAGATCTATTTTATTTACATCTCTGTAACTGGAGCTCTAAGATGGAACACAGCTCAGCCAGGAAGGACCTGACAGGGGCTGCAGTGCCCTGCGTGGGGCTGGGCTGAAGCCAAACTGCATCCCTGGGGAGGCCGTGGGCCCAGCCCTCCCTGGCTGTGACACGCAGCCTCTCACTGAGCACCTCCATTCCCCATCAAACAGAACACTCAGGAAGGAACACAATCAACAATTCCAACTACAGAAACCACTGAGGTGCCTTTCAGGACCCCACAGTGTTCAGTCAGTTCTTACTTTGCAATGCACGAGGTATTTCAGCAATAAATTCCCTGTCATTGCTAAGAGCTGAGCAGCTCCTAAGTGGGAGGGTTTCCAGTTATGTTTTTCTAACAGCAGCTCAAAGCTTAAGCAGTTTCAGCATCCACCAGCCTGAAGCCCGTAGATTTCAGGCATCTTGCATGGATGTTTTATAATTTAAATGGAAATCCTACCTGCAGTCTTAAATACATAAATATCTTCTGCCACTTGGCTCTACTGAAAAGCTTTCTGCTAATATAACACAACATTTCTTTAACAGAAGGATAACCATATTCCTAGTTTGCACATTTTCTATCAGCACATTGGTTATTGCAGCATTTTTCTACGCCAGCCTCTTGGTGCTAGGTGACACATCAGCAGGATTTAAAGCCTTGGGCTTTTCAGGGGAGTTTTTGTCCAAGTTCCAAGCCAGATCCAGCATCTGCAGTTTGGGCAACATGCATCTCTGTGGGCGCTTGCAGCCCACACCCAGCGCTGCAGGGGTTAATGGTGAGGGGACACTTCTCCCACGGGGCACTCTCACTGCTCAGTTCCACCCCAGAAGGCAGCAGGACTGTCCTTCAGCAGCCCAGACGTTCCCAGGGGCATTCCCAGTGCTCTCCAGGGCCGCACCATCACACCGTGGTCTCTGTTTTCTGAACACTTCGACTGCGCAGGTGCTGCTGGATCAGCCTCTTCTCTCGTGTGTACCTGAGAGGGAGAAGGCATTGAAATAACCTCTGCAAACCTTCAGCCCAAATTCCAACCAGCTGCTCACATGTGGGTCCATTCCCAACCTTTGTGGCCATGTCCAACTTTCCCAATGCAGGCAAGTCTAGTATTTTCTAAATGTTTCCTGACACTTGGATTCAACGTGATTATCAGCCCATCGTGCAGTAACAGATCTGTGGCTGCTGCAGCCTCTCAGTGCTCCTGGACTCAGGAGAGGCTCACAAATATGGCAGCTCCTCTGGCTTGTACCTGTGGGACAATCCCCCTTTTTGCCAGGGGGATTTCCATCACTCACCTCAAGTTTTAAGGGGACATCAGGCACTGATGTGGCTGAAATGCTACAGAACCAAAATGGTACCACGTGTGGTACTACATTTACCCTTTCCAAGGGAACAGCAGCAAGTACCAACCGAGCCAGTCAAAGGCCCAGAAAGCAAACAGCAAACAAAATAAAGAGAAGTTACCCTGAGGGTCCAAATTTTCTGAAGACCTCACTCTGTGTGTAGTCACCTGCACTCTGCTACATCCATATGCTCTCCTCATGAGCCAATTGTACAGATTGCCCTGGACTCTGTGACACCTCATTTTGTGTCTGTTTACCTTGCAGTGGTCTGTTGAATCTCCTGCTCCTCCTCTTCATTTATTCTGTGCAGAATGGATTCCAAGAAGGGAAGATGGAATGAAATGTACTGAGCCACCTACCAAGGAGAAGACAAGAAAGGCACTACTGACTGTGGTCACTGAGGAAAACCCCACGAGCTATGAGAAGTGAGGATATACATACATCACTGCTGATCTCTTCCATGTCCCCATCCATGAGAAAAAACTTGGCAACCTTCTCAGAGGGCCCCTGCAGCAGCCTGTGCAATAAGGGAACATCCCTACTCCTCAACTGCTTCTTTTCTGGAATGTATGAGCAGTGTCACAAAACACAGAACATCCCACAGGGGCTCCATCTACCACCTGCAGTCACGAGCCTTTTTCCCTGACAAGGATCCCATACTGACTCGAGTGCAAGGACCAGATACCTAACAGGTCCCTAATGTTGTGCCATTTGAAATACCTTCTCCCCCAGTTCCCTCCTATTCTCTCAGGTGTTCCCTTTGATAAAGATCAAATCTCCCTTTTCCTGGAAAAGTAAACTGCTATGGAAGTAACCTGTTTCCACTGACCAGTGAGTACTTTGAACTCAGCATATGCAATGCAAAGCTGTCAGCTGAAATACACACAATTATTCAGCTTTTCCTCTCCAGAGGAGACATCTCTGAAGGGTGCCTGAGAAGGCAAAATGCCACAGCACACACACAATGCACAAACAAGGACAGAGGCCTGGCACAAGTCCTGTTACTCCAAGGGACACATTCCACACACACACAGAATGATCAGAGCTGAAGTGCTCAGGCAGCAGTGGCTGGCTTACCTCCAGACGCATGGATAACGTAAAGTGCAAATTCATGGGGGCTGTTTTCTATCTGTGAAAAAAAAAGAAATTCCATTCAGACTCACAGATATTCCCAGGACTTCCCTCTCAGCACATTTTCCCTGTGTGTCTCAGCTCAGAGATTTGGATCAAAGCCTGAGACAGGGATCCTGTCTGTACAAGAGTTAAAGATAGTGGATCTGGACAAGACAGAAAGCTGTGCTGCCATGTTCACTGTCCCTGTGCCAGCCCTAACCCTTGTGTTCCCATGTGCCCAAACCAGTAACACACTGGAAACTCAGATCTTTCCTGCCTGCTTTCCTTGCAGCATCCTTAACTGCTTCCTAGAGTGTATTCTCCCCTCACACGTAGATCTGCTATTTGTGCTGCCATCAAGGTAAACCTCTGTGACCTGCCCTTGTGCCTGACAGCCACATTCTGAAAACAGCACAGCTTTTGAACACTTACTTTGCAATGTATTCCCTACAACTCTACTCCCTGCTCTGTAATTCCCTTCCTTGTTACTCCTAGACGTTGTTTTCCTTCCAAGACACTCACAAGTCTTACTAACCGCACAAAGTAATTGTGCAATAGTGAAGTCTCCAGACAAGTTAAACAGGAAGCTTAAGACCATTAAAGTATAAATTAAACACTAAGCAGCCATGAAAAATCAAGATATTTGAGAAATATGCAGCAGTAAGGGCAAAGCTACTTCTGGCCACACATGACATTGTTGGGGGAGATGGTTCCAAGGAAATTTAAAAAAAAAAAAAGTAGTTTCAGACAGCATGGCACTGGCCTTGAGCAGTACTTGTAGCTGTAACCTTCCCATCTTTCCACACACCTGGCTCTCAGAGAAAGCCCGTCCCAGACAGGCGCTGGGATAACTGCTGCTGTTTTAGGCCAGCTGCAGTTCCCGGGGCTGTCGGCGGGAGGGCAGCACCACCAGGGTTAAAATTGTCCATCTGGGTTTTTTTACACTCTGCTCCACGCACTGTCCTCACCCAGCCATTCCACATCTTTCCCGCAGTGCTGGAGGGAGTGCACATGGGAATGAACGCTTCCAGAACACGGCCACGCTTCCTCCTGCCAGCAGACCTACCTTAAACTTCTGAAGCAACTGCTCTATCACTTGTCTGGTCCTCATCTGGCTGTTGATTCTTATTTTGGTTTCTGACCCAAAAGCCAGAGTGAAAACTGATGTCTGGGAACAAGACAGCAACACCACGGCCTGAGCCTGAGGCACACCTCACTGGGCAGGGCTCCCTGCCCCTCAGGTGACAAAGCCAAGCCTAAAATTTCCTACCTCGTGGTTGTAGAAGTGGCCATTGATGGAGAACCTGTGAGTTTCTACTTCTGTCCTGGTGATGGTGGGGAGCTTGGTCCTCCTGCGCACGGCCGCGGCATCGCTGCTGCTGCGGGGCAGGGTGGCACAGTCGAGCTCCTGCTCCCTCCTGGACCTGAGAGTGTGACTTTCATAGCATGGATAACCTGGACAGAAGAGAACCACACATCCTGTGCAGCTGCCAGCACCCCCAGAGGAGGGAGGCTCTCAGTGAAGGGCTTCATTTACTGTTAACTATTTATTATTTTTGGGGCGGTGGAGCAGGAAAGGAACAAGGCAGAGGCATACGATGAGGAATAGGCTGCTTGCAGGGCTTGCAGTTTGCTGATTTGCTCCCTTGGGGATGATTTCTTGGATGAAAGCACAGCTCATCGCCACTGGCTGTTCACCAAGTCACCTGCACAGCCCTAAGCAGCCCTAGGTGGGTGTTTCCCCAGCTTGCAGGGCATGTGACACACAGCAAAGAGATTTCCCTTGGCTGGCAGGGAAGCTGCACAGCCCTAAAGCTTTCCCACATGTGTTTTATACTCCCATGTGCACTTTCAGCACTTTTCAAGAGAGTTTAAACGAGAATGAGCTGACTCAGTGACAGAACAGCACTAGCTCAGGGACCTCAGGACACACACTAGACAACATTCACTATGGACAGCACAGATTCTTGTGCTTCAGGGCTCCAGCTTGTCAGTACAGCTCCAGTACTGCAACTGAACCCAATGGAAAACACCTGGCAGCAACTCACATTAATCCAGGAGTGCCAGTGCATCACCTGTGTGCTATCTCAGTAAGTACAGCTGAATATTCACCCACTATAGTGGCAGGCACTTGGCTGAAATAAAGATGTTTATAATGCATTGTTTTCTGCTATTTTCTGAGAGATTTATGTTTTCCTGGCATTGTTTCAATATACTTGAACCCGGGTTCTGCTCCCTGTCCTAAAGAAGAGCTTGGATATCATCTGTGATGCAGCTCTACTTTTTGAAGTTACAAACAAGTTTTGAAGTTTTGAAGCAAACAGACAGAAATCAATGTTTGGAGAAATTAACACAGAAATAACTGCATGCTTCCCAGTCCCTGCCCAGCACATCCCAGTTCTCTATTGGGAGCCTAAGTCCTGTTCTTATCATAGAAACTCCATATAGTTATGTTTTATAGAAGAGCTTTGCAGGGAAATTGCCTCAATTGCATCAATTTCCACCCTCAGCACACCACCAGCCCCACAGGAAATGCCACCTAAAGCTTAAATGACACAAAATGAGCAAAATGCATTAATTCAACACAAAAAAGATCAGTAAACAACCAATTCAGAAAATTTTCCCCTCATAATCTGCACGGGGAGAGGCTCTGGGATGCCAAGGCAAACTCAGAGATCAGAGATTCTCACCCTTGCCATGGCCTCGCTCTTGCCTCGCCCTCTCCCATTCCCGCCTCCCGTGGCCGAACCCTGGGATCGTGTGAGGGGGGACAGACCCCGTGTCCCAAATCCCAGCAAAATCCCCTTTTCCTCTCTTTTATGGCAGAGCCAAGCACTGATTTGGTGTTTTCTCAGCTGGATATGGAGTGAAAGAAAGTGTGTGCTTGTGGGAGAAATGTTCCTCCTAAAATGAGGGAGAAATGCTCCTCCATAAAGTCCAACTAGACATTGTGAGGAGAAAATGAGTTAACAAGCAGGGGACAGACAGGGAAAAAATTTGGAGCAAATTTGAGGTAGGCTGTAGTGCAGAAAATGAACATTTTGAGGTAAACTGAGGCACACGGAGGTAAAGGTTTGAGGATAAAATTTAGGTAATGTGTAGGGAAGAGAATGAGCATTTTGAGACAGTGAGCAGCAGGGAATGTCATAATGTGGAAGTCATTCCTATTTATGTGAGGGAGGACTGCCCTAGGGAATGGCTTTACCTGGGATTTGGCTCCTGTAGGGCCTTACAGAATAAGCCTTAGTGCTCTGTGATCCTGTGCTGCTCCTTGCACAAATTCTATTCCTCACTATTCCTCCAGTGTCACTCTTGTCCCTGCTGAAGTTTGTCCCATCCACTGGGCTCTCAAGTGTTTTCTCTCCTGCTCATATTTAAATTTCAGTCTTTTTGGGTGACTTCTATGCCTCTGCAACATCAAATTGAGTTCCCCAAAAAACACACCACTGAACCAATTTTTTTATCCTTTATTTCTCAAATTTCCATTTCCACTTGTTTCTCTAGCTGCAATAATAATGGACGTGACAGAAATAACAGCAACCAAGGGGAATTAATGGAATGTGACAGAAAATGCTAAATTTTGTCATTTGAGCAGGACCCAGCGTTCACAATGTCCAGGAAGAAGCACAACCATGAGATAATCCAGGGGTCTCTGGGTGCCAGACTGGGTCTGCAGTATTTCAGTCCATGAGAGTTACAGGATGAGGGATTCCTCACAGGAATGAAATGTGACCACAAACAGGGTTCAAGCAGCCCTGTTCCATGGGGAACAGAGAGATTGCCAGAATCACAGTGCCTTTCACTCCATCCCATTGCCTTTGAGCTCCTCCATCAGCAAATCCTGCTGCTTATTGACCCAGTTTCCTCCCTTGGCTGTGTGGGGAGGGGGATCCTGGGCCGGCGGGCAGGGCGGCCTGGCCCGGGGCTGGCTGGGCACAGGCGGGCCTGGAGCAGAGCTGGAGCCGGAGCGCGGCCTGGAAGCCGCGGCGGAAGCTCCGGTTGCAGAAGCCGTAGATGATGGGGTTGACGCTGCTGTTGGAGAAGGCCAGCCAGTGAGCCAGGGGATAGATGTACACATTGATCAACCGCAGCTGCACGTCCGACAGGCTGCCGTAGTCCGACAGCAGCATCAGGCTCCACAGGGGAAGCCAGGACAGGGCGAAGAGCAGGGTGACAAGGACGAGCGTGTGGATGGCTTTCCGCTTCCTCCTCCACGCTCCCCGCTGCTGCTCCCGGCCGCGCTTCCCGGCCCCGGGCACGGCGGCGTGGCACAGGGAAACGCCGATCCTGGCGTACAGGAGCGCGATGAGCGCCAGCGGAGCCAGGTAGATGTTGGCAAAGAGCACCGTGGTGTAGGCCTTCCTCATGGCCGGCTCGGGCCACTCCTCCCGGCACCAGAACACCGGGCGGGTGGCGTTGCCCGTGCCCAGGAGCAGCTGGAAGCGCTTCTCCTGCCGCAGCCGCAGCAGCGCCGCCGAGGGACACATGATGGCCACGGCCAGCGCCCAGATCACCGCGATGGTGGCCACGGCGGCGGGGACGGTCAGCTTCGGCTTGAAGGGGTGCACGATGCACCGGAACCTGCGGCAAGGGCACCGGGGAAGCCGTGTGAGGAACGCCTCCTATCCCGGGCAGGGATGCACACACATTTTAAACTGCCTGTCTTTCATCCTCCCTGTCAGTTACTGCCTGTGCAATCCAGCTTCATGGCTGAGAAACAAACCAATTCCTGGCAGGCTGGCATAGCCCAGTTCCACCCTCTTTAAGAGACACCGGTGGAGGAGCAGATTGCTCTTTAGACCTGCCCAGATTTTATTTTGCTTAGGATTTGTTGTGGTGTTGGGAGGGTTAATGACTGGGCTCAGGGTGGTCAGGGGGCCAGGGGAGATGACACTGGTGGTTACAGACTGCAGCATCTTACCTGTCCATGGCAATAGCAACCAGAGTGAAGACAGAGGCAGAAACAGAGATGCCTTGGACCATCCCGCTCATCTTGCACACCAGGCTCCCAAAGGGCCACCCTGCAAGGAAACATGCATTTTGGAATTGCTGCCATCTCACTGCAGGACTCTGCTTAAAATCATTCACTCTCATCTTCCATTTCCTGAGTACAATTATAGAGTCATGGGGTGGTTTGGATGGAAGGGAAGATCATGGAGTTCCAGCCATGGCCAGGAACACCGTGCCATGGGCAGGGAGACCTTCCACTGACTCAGAATGCCCACAGAGCCCCCTGGACACACGCCCCTGGCTACACGCCCCTGGCTCTCCCCACCCCACGGGCAGCCAGCCCACCTGCAATGATGTTGTCCAGGAGGGTGGTGGGCATGCAGAAGAGCCCCACCAGCAAGTCACTGACGGCCAGGTTCAGGATGAACAGGTTGGTGACCGTGCGCATGTGCCTGCTCCACAGCACGATGAAACAAACCCCCCCGTTGCCCACCATGCACAGGAGGAAGATGAGCAGGTAGGAGGTGATGAAAACAGCAGCCACCCAAGGCTGGTGGAGGTAGAAGTCCACATAGGAGACATTTCCTTCCAGGTAAAGGTACTTGTACGTCCTGTTGTAATTCAGCAAATCCAAGTGAGGCCAATCCAACGAGGAGTTTGAGTCCGTTCTCCTCCTTGTGTTCCAATGTGCCCTAAAAGATATTTGTAAAGAGGCCATTTTAGTCTGCTTGCAATTGATCTGAAGCAATGTTATTATATTATTATTATTATTATTATTATTATTATTATAGCATTGTCATCTCTTTTGGGTGCACTATGTGCTGAAATAAGCGTGAAACTCACATACACCCTGGCAGCAGTGAGGTGGCTGAGCAATAATCACTAAAAAGTCACTAACTCCAGCACTGAAAAACAGGGATTAAAGCTTTCTCAAGTGGCACAAGCCTTCTGCCTGCAAGTATCCAAATCCAGCCCCATTTCATGGACATGAGATGGTTTTGTGTGCAGCTGGATGATTTAATTCCCTGCTCACAAGCTACCCAACTCCAAGGCTGCAATCAAGAAGGACCACGCAGTGTCTGAAACATGCTGAGCTTCAAGAGAGCTGGGTTCATTTCCAAGCAGCTAACTTGACTTGGAGGCAGCATTTCAAACTCTTTTCCACATATATTTTGTCTCCCAGATGAGGATGCCTAAAGAAGCAGGGGGCAAAATTAATTGGTGGCAGCAGGCATGAAATTAAAATGTGAGCGCAGGTGCTTTCAAGATGCTCCAAATTCCTTAATAGAAATGGGATTTAAATTTAGGCACAAGTTATCTGAATCCTGATGAGCTTGTATGAAAGCTCAGCAAAGCCTCTGCAAGTGCTTTACTCTCAAGAAGTAAGTGCAGTAAAAAAAAAGTATTTATTTTGCCGTGCCTCAGGTTTGGAACAAGCAGAGCAGTGAAAACCCATTATGTTCTGCTCTCTTGTGCCTGTTCAGAAATCAGCAGCAGTGCAGTGTCTTAATGGGTCTGTATTTCACAGACTTATTAAATGCCTGCACAGCAAGGCAGGGAGACAAAAATCTGGAGTCCCTCACCCAAAATCAGCTGCTTGTAGGTTTGAACAAGTGTAGGAATAGTTGTACATTCTGTGGGGCTGTCCTTACAGACAAAGGCTTATTTATCTTGATTAGTTTTTACTCAATATGCTTTCAAAATCATTGGAGGTGATCTTATTGAGATATCAGATGAGCCAGATGCTTTCCCCAGCCAGAGTTCAGAGTCAGCCTTGTGAGAAATGCTTTAATGCCCATTTTCCTGATCCCTCAAGGAAGCAGCACTGGTGCTCTTGCACCCCAACCTGGGCTCTAGGTGGAGAGCTCTGACAGAATGCCAACACAGATATTTGACAACACAAGTTCACACTGCTCCTTTAATCCCAGACCTGGAGCTGGGCTTTATAAATCCCAGGAGATGCTCTCACCATTAAAAAGCAGCATTCCTACTGCTCTTCCCTGTGGAGAGCTTTGTGGACAGTTGGCTAGCTGAGAAAGATCCCGTAGACATGATACCGTTGGTGAAGTTAGAAGGAGGCAAGTCTAGGAGTCAGCAGTCAGTGTCCAGTGATGGGCAAGGACATTGTGCCCTTGGTGCAACAACAGGATAGAGGAGAGGATCTTTTGCCAAAAAAATGAGGATATTTTCAGCAGAATAACCACAAGAATGTAGAAGTAGCAACAGAATAACCATAAGAATACAGAAGTAGGCGTGGTTGGCCGATAAGTAACTAACCAATAATGAGCTCTTCTTTGCAATATGTATGAACTTCATTAACACCAATATAAATATGTGTGACTATCAATAAAGTCCGAGACTTGCTGATCACTCATATTGAGTGCCGCTTTTCTCCTGCCAATCCAACACTTCCCCACATTACTATTATTATTATTGCCCACTAATTTTCTGCCATAATCTTCTGCCTCCCCAAGGAGTTGCTTTAGGGAGACACTGTGGCCAGGGGAAGGTGGCTTTTGGCTCTCACCACATTCCCAGTCCCCATGCCCAGCTGTCCCTGTGCTGTCCCCAGAGGTGCCTTTCCTCCCTTACCTGCTGGAGTTTGGCTTTTCCAGGGGTCTCTGATGATCTGAGGCAGTTCTTGGTCATGCCATGACAGGGCTGTCCCTTATCACACTGAAATCAGGAGAAATAATGGTCATTTTGGATACATATTTTGTTTTTTCTCTCTGTTTCTGACACTAGAAGCTGCTGCCTCACAGCACAATCTCCTCAGTAATGATCTCTGGAATAGTTTTCGTCCATAGCTGGTAAACAAGAAGTTGTAAACAGCCTTGAGGCAAAACTGGAGCTGAGTCTCTTCCCAGTTGCACTAATGAAATTTTGGTTGTGGCAGGCATAGGGAAGTGGTTGTGCAAACACTGCAGATGACAGGAAATGGAAAAGCTCCATGGATTTCTATTATCCTGAAGCTGAGGGGGAGGAGGATTGGCTGGAAGGAGAAATAAAGCCAGTGCCTTGTGTTTTCACAGGGACCTTGCCTGCTAAAACAAGGGGTGATAAATAATTGAGAGAGGCACAGAAGACAGAAACATAAATCATCTAAGAAAAGGGAAAAAATTATGCAATACCTAATTGGTATAAGATGATGAATAACAGTAATCTGCTTCCACGTGGTAACTTGATAAGAGCAAGGCCTCCCTCCTTCATTTAATACACCAGAGAAAATCTGCAAAGGAATAAAGTGGGAGGGAGGCTCCCAGAGTGCAAACTGCCCCAACCCACAGTGGGCTCCCAAACACAGGAGGCTCATTCCCTGCTGGAATCCCAGACACAGCCTCCATAGGCAAATACACAATGTAACACCTCACAGCCTGACCAGGACAATTGTTACCTCTGGCTAGAGAAAAACAGTTTTCCCTCGTTAGAGCAGCAGTTCCAAGCCATTATGAAGTGATGCCATTGTTTTTATGTTGGGCACATGGAAGAAATCCCCTGGAGCAGCCACCACTGCCTCACCCCCGTGCACAACCTGCTGGGTTTGTCATCTTGATATCTTCATTTTTATGTGTGAAATAGCCTCACAGGATCCTCTGAGGCTGAAACAAAAATAAGGAGACTTCAGAGATGGGAGGAACAGCATGTAGGAGCATGTAGCTGTACATGAAGAACATTCAATGTGGTAAGTGCTAAAAAATTTGTTCTTCCCTTGTCCTGAGCTCAGTAATGGCACAAGAACAGAGACTTCCCAGGGCTCCCAGCTCCCAAGGTTTCCCACTTTGGAAAATGATCCCTGGTCTGCTGAAAAGTGAGAAATTCCCAGGGGCAAAACACAGGCCCTGAAGGATGGCAAAAAGAACAGGACATTGGTCTGTGATTGTCTGAGAAATAAGGGAGAGAGAAATTTATGGATCATCCTCTGCCTCAGGGAACCAGGAAGGGAGCCACTGACTAAAAACCTGAAATGCTGTTCCACAGGCACCCTGTGCACAGCCCATGGGATTCTGGGGTCCTCTTGGCTTCTCTTTCAGAGCAAGGGGGAGCTGCAGCCACCCCAAACCCCCCATTCCCAGTTCCACAGGGAGGGGTGCAGGAGGTGTTTGGTCTGGGCTACGCAGGGCTTCAGCTGGGGACTCTGGGGATATTTGTGAATTAAGGTAATAGAACTTACTCTTTAAGTATTTAACTTTTTCATCCATCAATATTTCCATCCTATTTTATAGGACATACCTCTGAGTGGTTCATCTCCAAATAAGCCCAAATATCCCAGTAGCTTTTCAGCTGGGAGAAAGGAGCTGTGGAAGAAAACCCACCCTTAAAAATAGCCAGTTGCAATAAAATCATTCTTTCTTACTGACATTGACTTTCATAAAGAAAAACAAGTGCACCTTGAGAAGCAAATTTCTCATTTTGAAATGGGCAATCCCAGGCAGATGTGCCAATCTCGGAGCTGCACACACATCTCCTCTCAATGAGCTTAAACTGCTTATCCTCCCCTCAGAGTCATTTATCTGCATAGTCTGAGCTGGGGCCACAGGAAATAGTTTGTAGGTATTTTCTTTTTGAAATAGGTATTTCTTTCTAAAAGATCTCAAACTTCAAATGATGGAGAACAAGGCTATCAGCAGGATGACTGGAATAAACACCAGACTTAGCTGCAGATTACTCGTCCACTTGAGCTGGGAATAGAAAACATTTCACTCCAAAGCCAAATTGTAACTGTAAATCAGGAGATGTAAATGGCAGGTGAGGCATTCACAGCAAGTTGGTAATGGCTCTGTATTTTTATACATATATATATATTTATATATAATTTCCACCCTGCTTCATTAGAGCCAAGGCTGCTTACCTATTTCTTATCATTATGATCCCTTTTTTCCCCTTTACTTCATGTTTAGTCAACCTTTAAGCTTCTAAATATATTTTTTTATTTGATGCATCACAGGCAGTTTTAAATCTTAACTAAAATCTCAGCCAACTGCTCGCTGAAATCAGGTTAAAGTAAGATTTCCACACCCAGGCACACTTATGCCACCACTTTATTGAGAAGCCTGGCAAGCAATAAGATTTTAGCTGCCTTACCTTGGAAGCAAGTCCCCGTTTTAAAAGCTTTCAGTAGGAAATTACTCAAGTTCCCTGGGATTCAGTCTCCAAGTAGCAGTTTCTCATCCATCACTGGAAACTGGGCAGGGACCCCACAGAATATCTGGACTGGCCACAGCTTTTTCCCTGGAGAGATGCTCCAGCAGTTCAGCAGTGAGTGCTGGGGTTTGATCTATAGGAAGAGCTAAATCAATGATCCCTGCTGGGCTCTTGGCAGCACTAAATTCCCCACAAATGGGACATGAGCCTCCTAAATTGCACCTTTCAGCTCAGCCTGTGCTCATGAGTCACTCCCTGACAGCCCTGTCATTTGGGGCACTGAGACTGAGGGGAGTAATTGGGGAGCAGGTAGATAGAGGTAAAAAACACCCCTGGAAAGTGGGACAATCATGAGAGAGTCTCAGTGGAGGACAGGATTGGCAAACAACAGAAGTGCTTGGGGCCCATCAGCCAGTGAGGGCTAACGCAGCAGGTACAGGAGACAGCTCTGCCAGCAGGCAGTTGTGTCCCCCCAGAATGGGGGCACAGAGGATCCTGTAATCCCTGCCAAGTGAAAGACCAGAAAACCCAAACCTATCCCAAGGCACAGAGCACACCACAGGCGTTCTTTGCACCAGCCAGAGCCACGGAATTGTTTGATTTCCATCTCTTTTGGCACAGAAGTGCCATTGCCCTCTCTGAGACAGGCATGAGAGCAGACAGCCCATGACCTGGTCACACAGGGCACCAGGACTTACAGCCTGTCACAATAAACACCATTTTACCCCCACCCAAGCTCCTGGGCTGCAGAATATTGGATTATGCCTCACTAGGAATTGGGCAGAGCAGCCTGCCTGGTCCAAGGGCAGGACAAGTGAGCTCCCTGTGCAGCACCCTGGGGTTGGATCCTTAACACTCCACCTCAGCCCATGCTGGATTTGCCCAGAGGCAATGCCTTTAGTCTTAAATAAGTGCACAGGAGAAGAACTGGCTGTGGGGGTGACAGCAGAGGTTTAAATGCAGTGTCACCTCTGCAGAAAGATGATGGTTGTGGAAGGGCTGAACTCTCTCTGTACCTTCCTGCCATCTGACTGCTCCCTTTACATCACCATCCACATCCACACAGGGGTTTTAGGTAATCATTGATTTTTTTTTTTCCTGTGACCTGCTCTGAGGATTTGAATCCTTTTGGTGCTCTTGAATTTCCATTTGCTGCTGCCTCAGTGACTCAGTTTTAATTAACACCAAATTCTAAGCCTTACCTGGATAACATGGATAGGTACCTCTGATTGATGTCAGGAATTTGACATGCTGAGAGGTTACCTGGGAAACCTCCTGGTCTGACTCCAGTTGAAGCCAATTCTGCTCAGTAAATGACAGCTGCAACCCACAGCAGTCCAAACAGCAAGGACTGCAAGGAAGCTTTCCTTGCTAGGATTTTCTTTTGGAAAAAAACCCCAGCAGCACAGATCCTTTCTTTTGGGATGAGGTGCCATCTTACCTGCCAGCCTCAGGAAATGCTCAGTTACACTTGTTTACACCCCTTTCCCCAGCAAAACACCCCAAACTGATCTCACTGCATTTCAGACTTTGCAGCCCCTGACAAGGTTCAGATTTCAATGCTAACATGAGCTACTTCAAGCTCCAGACACTTTCCTCCTACTGAAGGTACCTGCTACTGATAGAAGAGCAAAATGAAATTATGTGAACTTGTCTTAACTACTGAGAAAAAACAAAACAAAACAATCAGCCCCAGGATTTTCTTTCCCCAATTCTGGAGCTCTGCAGAATGCTCCAGCTCCCAGCCCAGGCCCTCCTGCAATTCAGGGGCTGGAACCCCAAAAGCAGAGGCTCAGGGGTACCTGCTGCCATCCCCATCCCAAACTGCTCCTTATCCCAGCCCTGCCCACCCCGGGCAGCCCAAGGGGGGCTGTTTCCAGCCGGCAGGTCCCTGGCATCACCGGGATCCCGGGGCAGGCAGTGTTGTGCCCCCTGCCAACCAGGGCACCTCCAACAGTGGCAGCAGCATTCCAGCTCTCTCTCTCTCACACACACACACACACAGACCTGTTGCTCGCCGAGCTCCCGCGGTTTTCCCCAGCTCCCAGCTGCAGCAGGGAGGCAGGAGCAGCCCAGCCCCGGGGGAAGGCAGCCCCAGCCCGATCCCCCCGGGGTACCTACCCCGCTTACAGCTCCGCCGCCGCCTCTGGCTCCGCAGGCAGCAGCGAGGAGAGGCTGCAGCCTTTGCTCCCGCAGCCCCTGCGGCTCCTGCCTCAGGCAGGGAGGAGGGACAGGAGGAAGGAGGGAGCCGAGAGCCCAGCCCAAAGCCAGGCGCCAAGCCCCGGGGCTTTGGGGGGTGCCCGGCTGGAAGAGTTTCTGGGCTATGTTCCATTGCAGAGCCTCCCTGCTCTGCTTGAGGCATCCCTTGGCCTTGGGAAGCTCATTACAAGGGTCAGGAAGTCACAGTTACTTCTGCAGGGGCCACGCCTGACACGCCCCCATCCATCAGAATCCAGATTCCCCCAGAGCTCCGAGTGCTCCCAGCAGTGGCATCTCCCAGACTCTGCTCCTACCTGCTGAGCTCCAGCATTCAGGTCCAGGCTCTCCAGAGATTCCAGCTTTTACATCAGGAACTCAGGGAAAAAAAAAACCAAACAGTCTGTGTGGCCCAGGTGAAACCAGGTGGCCCCTGTAGTTGAAATGGCAGGTTCTGCCTTACCTGCCTCTGCATCAGGTTTTTCTGGAAAGAAAAGCAGCATTCCAAAGACAGATTCTAGGAGAACAGGCTTCCAACTAATGATTTCATGGATGTAGGAATCATTCCTTAATAAGAATAAATTCTCTGTTTTTACACTCCCCTTTTGATTCCTGGCATAGTTTAAAAATTAATCCTTTAACAAATCATTTAAATTTGAGACAACAAACAAATATCCCAATATCAATTGAAACCAACAAATTGTTTTCCAGCATAACTCCGCGTGGAATTGTAACAACTCTGTATGGCATCATCATGTGCTGTAAATGGAGGCTGAGAAGTTCCAGCCACACACAGCAGTTTTGCCCTGTGTGATGCAGCAGATGAAATCCCAGAATCCAGGATGTTGGACTGGGGACATGGAGCTGGATGCACTAAAAAGCCACAGACAGAGAAACCTCAGAGCAAGAGAGGATCATGCATCCAGATAAGAGGATTTTGTCTAGAATTCCTACCCCAGCTCTCCCTGCACACACACACCGCTGCAGTTTTGTCTCCCCATCACTTCCCTATATTCACATTCCCTCTGCCTGGAAGCCCAAAAGGTGGCGAGTTCACTTTGGAATCCAAGGAGCTTCAGATGAAAAAGTGTTACTCATGGAAGCAACAAAATATCCACAGCGCAGGGAAGTGAGACTTGCAGGGAACTGAGACTTGCAGGGGATCGCTTTCTGCTTCCCCCATTCCCCGTGGAACATCAGCATGGAATCCTCATCACGGATTCATTGCAGAATATTGTCCTTTTAGTTTTAAAAACGGCTCCATGAGCGGCAGGGCCGATCCGTGTCCCAGGATGCTTCCATCTCTTTGGAATGCCGGCGGCACCATCTGCTGGGAGCAGAAGGAAGGACAGGATGCGAAATAAACTCGAGGAGCGCTCATGGAACTGTCCATGGAACTCCAAAACGGTTTGGTTTGGACCTCAAGGATCATCCAGTCCCACCTCGGAGCCTGTTCAGGGCACGCTGCTGTCCATCGGCCCCTGATTGCAGATGGATATGGAAGGGATGGAGGTGTTCAGGGAATGCTGGTTGTTTTTCCCTGTGCTGGCTAATCTGGTAATTAAAAAGACTAATTGACCTCTTCCAACAGGGAAACATGTAAGCAAGAGGTGCCAAAAAAATTGGAGTTCCTGTGAAATGAAACCTACATGTATCTGACTTAAAATCCCTCTGGATGGTCACTGGTTTGACTTCCACAGATTGCTCACACTGCCCAGGTATATCCAGTTCTGCTGTCAATGCTTTTGTCCGTGGCATAATTTCTATTTTTTCCTTGCAAAGAGCATCTGGGTGATAGAGGGGCATGGAGAGGAAAGGAAGGGGAGCAACTCCTGGGGTGCAAATGCTCCCAGTCCCACTCTGCACACTTGAGCCCACCCTGCAGCCCGGGTCTGCCCCACTCTGCCCCCGGCTCCTGCCGTGTCTCACCAGTCTGGGGTTTGCCCCGAACCCCCAAACGCAGGATTTGGGCTCTCTGATTTTAAATACAGGATTTGGGCTCTCTGGTCAAAGCCTTAAAATGTCTGGATGAGCCCCCACTTGCACTCCCCAAACAGGGCTGGAGTTTGTTTCACAGCCCTGAGACTGCCTGGGTGGGGTTGGCTCCAAGTGCCAGCAACACGGGACTTGCCTCATTTCTGAGCCAAAGAAAATGCCTGATTTATTTATTAAAGGACCCTAAAACTGGCCAAATGAGCCTGGTACCCCCCAAACCCAGGCCTCAGTCCCTGTTTTGAGGACATGAAGGTGCCTGGCCCAGGCTCACCATGGGGGGCCCCATTCTGATCCCCAAAACCCCACACAACTCAGGCCTCTTCTTTCCCAGCTGGGTCTGGAGCTTCCAATCACTGGAAATGGGGCCGGAAACAGGGAATTTGGTCCCTGAACTCCCCCTGTGATGTCAAGACAGGCTGGAGAGCCAGGGGTGTTGGGACATGAGATAAAGAGGAGGACGGAGCCCATCCAGGGTACCCCAGCACCCACAAACACCCCAAGGACCCCAGAGTCCTACTCTTCCTGCTGCTCCCTGCCCAGCCCCAGTGCCAGGGATTGCAGGAGAGGAGCCTGACCACTGCCAGCCTTCTCCCAAACCACATCCATGGGCCGTGCCAGCACCCTGCACGGCTGGGCATGGCAGGAGACGGGCACCAGAGAGCAAAGGGCAGAGACCAGCCAGCATCAGCGTGTTTACTTCCTGCTGCACAGCAAGCCACACCCACCCTACAGACACACCCTCCAGGCACCCGTCTAGCAGTAAGGCACTTTTGCAAACACGTGAAACATTTTTGCCACCATCCCCGGGGTGTCGGTGCCCGCAGGCTCAGCGCAGCGTCACCAGCTCCTCGGCAGAAGTGGGATGAATGGCAACGGTGTTGTCCAGGTCGGCCTTGGTGGCCCCCATTTTTATGGCAACGGCAAAGCCCTGCAGCATTTCGTCACAGCCCAGCCCTTGCATGTGCAATCCCACCACCTTTGGAGGAGAAATGAGAGTCCAGGTGGGATCCAGGCTTGGGGAGCTGGATGCCAGCCCAAGAGCTGACCACACGGGGACACGAGGACAGCCAGCCATGGTCCCCAACAGCCCCCACTCACCTTCTCCTCCTTGCCAGTGCACACCAGCTTCATGACACACTTCACCTTCCTCTGGGTGACAGCGTGGTACAGGGGAGTGAAGGATGTGTTGTAGATCTTCACCTTGTCCTTCCCATGTATGGCCACAGCCTCCTCTGCAGCAGAAGCCACGGAACAGGCATCAGAGGGATGCACATGGAACATTCAAAAAGAGTAGTCAAAGCCCTTTGGTCAAGGCTCATTTGCTGGACATCAAAGCATCTCAAGCATGCAAACAGCAGCTCTGAGGCAGTGTCCCCAGCCTCTGTGCCCCCACCTTCAGTGAGCCCCACGGTGCCGATGGGTGGGTGGCTGAAGACGACCGTGGGGATGTTCTCGTAGTCCAGCCGGGAATCCTGCCTGCCCTCGAAGAGCCTGTGGGCCAGCTTCCTGCCAGCTGCAATGGCCACTGCAGGGACAGGGAGGGACAGGGACCCTGAGCCATGTGGCACCACAGAGCTGAGCAGGGGAGGGGGCAGGGCTGCAGTACCTGGGGTGAGGAGGGCTCTCCCACACACATCCCCAACGGCGTAGATCCCTCTCCTGGTGGTGTTCTGGTATTCATCCACCACCACGTGGCCCTTGGCATCCACCCGCACACCCTGCCATGGCAAACAGCAGACACATATGCTCCAGCAGGGATGGGAGGGCTCGTGGGGCCCCTGTGACAGCCTCTGGAGACCCAATGGAACCCCAAATCTCACCACTCGCTCCAGGCCCAGCCCGTCAGAGCTGGGCTCCCGCCCCACGGCCCACAGCAGGCAGTCCACATCCCGAATCACCGCCTCTGTCGGCTTGTGGCCAGGTGCCACTGAGGCCACTGTCACATCCAGCAGCCCACACGGAGACTTGGTGACCCTCTTGACCTAAGGGCAGCAGGAGAAGGTGCAGATGGCTTTTGCCTTGCAACAAGAGACAGCAGCCATGCTGCAGAAGCAGGGATGTCACTAAAATCACGGCTCAGCAAGCAGCACCCAAAAGGGCAGCTTTCCCCCAGCCCTGCCTCTGCAGGAGGGATGGAACAAGGCACAGGGCTGCTCTGTGTCTCCCACCTGTGTGTGCTTCCAGACATCCACCCCGGTGTTCTCCAGCTCCTGGGTGCAGTTGGAGCTGATCAGGGAGTCAAAGGTTCGCAGCACCTGGGCAAGGACCCCCGACCCCCCCCAACCCTGTCAGGCAAGGGTCTGCAGGCAAAGGCACCACCTGGCAGCCCCTCCACCGGCATTTCCCTGCCCCTGGAACCCAAGAGATTTAGGGTGCTTGTGGTTAACAAACTTCTCTGTTTATTTTTCCATTATTTTCTTTTCCTTTCTTCCTCTTCTCAAGTTGTGACTTGAAATAAAGCTCGAGGGGATGGATGTGGTGACACGCACGGCTGCAGAAACACGGGGCTCCTGGGTGGGTGCTGCTAAAACACGTCCCCTCCACCCTCTGCATGGCTCCCACACCACCATCCCCTGCATCACTACTCCCGTGCCAACTGAGACCCTCCTTCACCAGGAACTGACAGCCAGAAACCACTCTGGCCACCAGGGCTGGGGTGTGGCAGCGGGGCGGGAAGCACAGCTGGGGACAGGGGGTGGCACTACCTTGTCGTGGCGGATGAGCAGCGAGGACTTGGAGCCCAGCGTGGAGAGGATCCCCACCATCTCCACCGCGATGTAGCCGGCCCCGACGACGACGCTGCGCCTGCGGGCAAGTGACAATGCCCTGTGCATTGCCACCTGGAGATGGCGCCGGTGGCTGCGGGGTATAGATCCCGCTTTACCTGGGCAGCTCCTCCAGGTCGAAGAAGCCGTCACTGGTCATCCCCAGGCTGGCACCTGCAAAGCAGAGATACTTTGGCACCCTTCAGCTGTCCCCCTTCTCTCCCAAAGCCTGCTTTGCTTGGGCAGACCTCTCCCCAGCCTGGGAGCCCGGGGGATTTCATCAGGCTCACCAGGAATTTCGCTGTCGGAAGGGACAGCTGGGCGCCCTCCCGTGGCTATAAGGATGTGAGGAGCCGTGTACTTTTTCCCGTTCACTTCGATGGTTGGCTCGGGATCAGCGGTGAACTTGCCATAGCCCCGGATGATGTCAATGTGAGCCTTAGGGGTTACAGTTACGGGGTTAACAGCGGCATGAGGAGACAACTAATGGAGCCAGGGTTTCCACAGTCGGAGGACACCCATTAGGGCTGGAAAAGTGGCCAAAAATCCATCACGTCTGCCACTAGGATTGCAGGATAAACACATCCCACACTCACCTTCTTCACATTGTTCTCGTAGATGTCATTGAGGCGCTGCACATACGCGTCTCGCTTCTCCTTGATTGTTCTGGAACAGAGCAGGGAATGCCATCACTGCCAGCAGGTGAAGCTCAGAGCTCAGGGTAGAACCTTGCACTCTGTGCCATGCTCCAGTTCACAGGGTGGTGATCAAACTTCTGATGACCTCAGAAGTCTTTTCCAACCATCATTCTGTGAACTCAACCGCTCTGGCAAAGCAGCTCCCTGTGACCCTTTCCCCACCAAAGCAAGATTTCTGTGCCTGCCTTCCCTGTGTTTGTCTTTCCCAGAGTCTTTTCCCAGAGCCAGGTTGGCTCCCTGTTCTCCAAAACACAGCTACCCCTGTAAGAAGCTCTGCACAGCCCACAGGAGCCTGGAAGCAGGCAGGGACCCCTGGGAAGTGGACAGTGGGATGCTCCCTGTGGGACACTCACTGCAAGATGCTGATTCCCAACTGGTTCCCATTCTTACCTCCAGTTGAACTTGACACCCGCAGTTTCAAAGCCATAGTCAGCGTGGTCATGGACAAACTCTGCGTGCACCGCCGTGTTCCACATCACCTGCCCACGCAAACCCCAGGTTGGCTCAGGAGCACTGCTGGCACTCTGGGAAAACCCCTGCCTGATTCCTCATCTCTGCCCACAGCATCCCGATAGCTCAACAGCCTCCGAGGCCCTGCTTCCTCCCCACACCCTGTGCCAGCACCTCCCTAAAATTTGGCAGGCACCCACAGCAGACCCAGCCCACGCCACCGGAGCCAGTGGCAGAACAGCCTCACCTTCTTTGGCACACATCCAACATTGACCTGGAGGGAATAAGAACAAGTCTCAGTGTCAAGGCCCAGTTTTCCCAAGGCAGTACTCCAGAGAGCATTCCACATCCCAGCTCTCTGCTCAGGAAAACAAAGGCAGGATTAGGGGTTCCTGGAAAAAGAGGGGTGTAACCACCCTGGGAGGCTCAAGGTCTTGCGGTTTGCCCGTTTTCCTTCACTTCCTTGAAAGAGAATACAGAAGGTGGGGCCTTCAAACACAAGGGGTTTTTTTCCATTCAGAATGTAAAAATTATTTACTAGCAGAAAGGTGTTTGCCATCGTTTTCCTGCACTTCTGGGAATATGGTAATTTTCCCAGCAGAATGCATTTAGGGCATAAAATTAGAGCCTGTCCCTCACTTGCTTGAGGAACCAGTTTGTTTTTTGGCTCGTTACCAGCTCGCCCTGCTCTGGAGTTCTGCTTTACCACCTTGCAGCTATGCTACACAGATCCAGGATCCATCGGCATCCTGCAAATGGCTTGGAAACTGCCGGGAAGAAGCTGGTGGAGATGGGGGATTGGAATCCGTCCTGCTTCAGCCTGGCAAGGCAGGTCCTTTCACAACATCCGGACACCGGAAGGGCGATTCCTCCTCTCCCACCTCCCGCACCGCGACCCTCCCGGGGGTTCTGCCACCATCCCAGTCACCGGGGTCAGCGAGAGGGCACCGGCCCCGCGTCGCTCGTCCCCTTCCGCGTCCCTCCCCCACCCCCAAGAGACTCACGCAGGTGCCGCCGAGGCGCTGCGGCTCCACCAGCGCAACCCGGGCTCCGAGCTCGGCCGCCCGGCGGGCCCCCGCCAGCCCCCCGGAGCCGCCGCCCAGCACCAGCAGCTCGTAGGCGGCCGCCGCCATCGCTCCAGGCTCGGTCTGGCCCCGCTGCCCCGCCCCGGGACCGCCCCCGGTGCCGCCCCGGTCCCGCCCGGCTCTGCACGACACCACGTGTTGGGGCTGACAACGGCGAGTTTATTGGTTCAGGTACAGCGAGGAGGATTGCAAGCACTTCCAGGACAAATATACAGAGGGGAAGGGGGGGGGGGGGGATAACAAAAGAGAAAACAAAATAAACAAAATACCCCAAAACAATTAAAAAAAAAAAAGGGCAGGATCAGCACAGAATGGGAATAGAGCTAAAAAGGGAACACTTTTATCTGGGTTATGACAACGTACTCCCAAGCAGGAATAATTTCCTTTCTCCAGTTAAGTTGAGCGGTCTTTCCAATAAAATAAAGAGTGGGGATGAAGTTAGTGTGCACTTCCCTGGAAAACAAACTCTAATTCATGCCAGTTAAACACTAGAACTAAAAATGTACAAAGAAGCGTCAGAGGAGATGAGTGTTGTTAGAGTGTTACCTTTTCCTCTCTGAACAGTCCAGAAGGAAAACAATGACTACAAATACAGCAGGCAAACTGACTTTCGGGCTGATGGGCATGGGACAGAGAGAGTGTCATAAGGAATTCAGTCTCAAGTTGTGCTAAATGCTCTTCGTCCTCTGTATGGCACATTTTGGTCCATGATGGGGATTTGAGTTGAGACGAACCCTGATTTCTTACAGAAACGTGTAAATATTGTTGCTCTTTTAAAATGCCAGGTGTACTTCCTTCTACAAAGGTTGGGAGAGGTTTATAGGAAGTAGTCTGGGGTACGACGGGTAACATGAGGCTCTCCACGACGAGGTGCTGGGTCAAACTGGAGGCTGCAGGAAACAAAAAGGGATCACTTACCCTCCTCAAGGCACTTTCCACTGCCATGATAAACACCAGGCTTGTTCTCCTGCTGCTAGCACACATAAAACATTCCAAGCCCCAAACAAGAGTTAAAACTCAGAGTGACCCAGCAGCCCGTCACTACTTTCTCAGGGGAGCAGCTGAAAGCACAATTCAGACCCTCTCCCCCATCTTACCAAAGATGAAAACAAATAGATAAATCCATGTGTTTTTACTCTCTCCATCAAGCTTAGGCAATAAAGAGATTGAAGTGCAAAAGCTCCAACTCTCCAGACAGCCAGGAAGAGAAGCTTCTAGGAGCTTAACTCACTGCTTACTTTAAGGCAGAGCACACATTAATTCCAGAGTGGTCTGAGCTGGCTTTTCATGGAAGAACCCCTTTGGGAATGATCAGCCATTCCTCACAGAGTGGCTAGAAGGAGAGCCCAGCCCAAGGCAGCATACTCACAAGGAATATTTTAAAGTGTCATCTAGTTCCATGATAGCAGCCTGGTTCCCACAGCGGTAGCAGTAATTGGGGGCACTGAAGATGGTCACCACATTCCGGTCGTGGCACCAGTTATAACCCTGCCAGGGACAGAGAGGGAAAAACAAAAAGTCTCTCTTAAACCTCAGCCCCTCCGAAGTTCCTCTTCAGGCCTGAAACTCTCTGAGGCACTTGTGAAACTACAGATTTCCTGAAGTATTTCCAACTGACTTAGTTCCATTTCAAAATAGGTGCTTTACCACAAGAAGCAGCAGCAGGTACCTGGCAAAACCAGCTTCAAGCAGCCTACAGGAGATCATCCCCTCCTCACTCGTAAATTATGGACTGCACCACTAAAAAGCCTTGGGATTTTTAGGGATGCCTTCAGCTTTCCTCCACCACAAGTGACAATTTGCCTGCTGAATGCCACTGACTTCTGACACACAGTTCTGCTTAAGGGATCTACCTGCACTAGATTTTAAAAAGGCATCTGCTCCATTGACCCACCTGGCATTCTTCCAGCAAGACATCCAAGAATAGCCTGTTGAGAGCCAAAAATGGCATAATCCCTGTCACATCTGACTGCTGAGCACTATGGGACAGGCTGTTGGATGTAGCAGCAGTCAGAGCAAGAACAAACCAGCATGGAAAAAGATTATTCCTGCCACAAACAGGGTGTGACACGGCCGCTCTGGCAATTTACTTGGAGGGGGCAATTTGCTTGGAAAGGCCAGAACATCCCCTTATTTAGGCTGCAGGTCAAAGCATGTCACTTTATGTTGTTGTTTCCATGTGACTAAAGCCTCTCTTTGGTACTGACCTGTGCAAAAGGTGCCAACAAACCTGTGAGTGGAAGGTGTCCCAGAGTAGACCCCGTGGGCCCCTGTGTTGGTAGCCCTGGCTAGCAGTGCTTGCCCTACCTCCATGACCAGCTGGTGAGCGCGGGAGACCAGTGTGAGACCATTGGCGTGGTTGAAGGTTTCCGAAATGTCCTGCCCGAAGGTGTAGCCAGCACCACGTGGGGAAATGCCCCAGCCGCCGCGGTCATCCGGGTCCGACCACAACAGATCACACATCGGACCCTGGGAAGATTAGGAGCTCTCGGTTAGAACACTAGCAAGGTGCTTAAACACGTTTTATTTACAGCAGCAAGACTGCCAGCACGTCCTCCTCAGTGCAAGGCATGTGAGGAGTTTACTGAGCACACATCTGTGAGCCCCAGCCACTCCCAACAAAACTTCCAGCTGCCCCCGGAGCTCCAAGCGTGGATTTCAGTCCAGATTTCAGGCCCCAGGAAGCTGCAACAAGGTGCAACACCACACGAGGGAGGCTGGGCTGGCTGGGGAAGAAGGATGGTGATACAATGTGGCTTCACATGGCGGTTGTCAGTTCACAACCACCTCTGTGAGGAGGCTGAAGATAGTAAACACCCTCCCTCCCCTGCCAAATCCTGCTCTTTGAGTCAGACTGAAAGCCCAAAACTCCCACGATTCTGGGGAAAACAGCTGTGAAACCCCCACAGCTCTCCTTATGTAGGCTGCTGTAATCAAAGCACACTGACTTATGTGTGTTTTGCCCAAATGTTCATCTGCTCTAGCTCCTGGAAAGGCCATAATCCATGTGTAACCACGTGTCTAAATGGACTGCAATGTGAGAAAGCATTTGCATTTTCCACCAGCAGATATTTAAGTTTCTGAATTCTGTTACCTCGTGTGGAACTTCCTGCAGGCGGTCCAGAGCCCTGATATGATCCAGTGTATCTATGGATGGAGAGAGGCCACCATGGAGGCAGAATATCTGTTCCAGAAAGAAAAGAGCAATCCATTAAGTGGGAGCAATGACCTCCAAAACAGCTGGGTCTAACTCTGTTAACACTCATTCCCAACGCCAGCCATCTCACCCTGGGATCACAAGTTACAGGGGCTTGTCTGGGACTGTTTCTCTGGATGTCAGACAACACAGCTGGCAGAAAGGAAGGGAGGGAGGGAGGGAGGCTTTTCCTCACGCCAGACTCACCTGGCCGTCTACTAGAGCTGTGAGAGGCAGGTAATCAAACAGGTCTGTGAAGTACTTCCAGACGTTGGCGTTGCCGTACTTGCGCAGGCACTCGTCGTAGAAGCCGTACACCTGGGTGATTTGCCTGCTCTCGTGGTTGCCCCTCAGGATCGTGATGCGCTCTGGGTACCGCACCTGGGGGCGGATAGAACCTCCCTCAGCAGAGGCATGGAAACAAGGAGTGATGGAATATCACCCACAGCAGCCCAGCACTCTGCTCCTAGCACGGATCCATTTACACCCGTCATGCCCGAGCCAACAGCAGCGTCACCGGGAGGAGAAAATGGCTCCCAGGTCTTATCCCCAGTTTCCCAAGCCGTACCTTCAGCGCCACCAGCAGAGTCACTGTCTCCACTGAGTAATAGCCTCTGTCCACATAGTCTCCCATGAACAGGTAGTTTGTGTCTGGAGACTTGCCACCGATCCTGAAGAGCTCCATGAGGTCGTGGAACTGCCCATGGACATCCCCGCAGACAGTGACAGGGCAGCGTACCTCTTGCACATTGGACTCCTTGGTAAGGATTTCCTTAGCCTGGGAAGGAAAGCACGTTTAGGACACAAAGGGAGGAAGCTCCTCCAGAGGCAGGTGATGTTATTCTGCTGCATTCCCACAGGAAACCCGGTTTCATCCCCACAGCCCAAGATGACCACTGGAAAAAGTTTGGTGGGTGAGCACAGACAAGGGGTGCTTCCCAAATCCCAGTGCAGGGGGATGAGCAGATTTACTACAGCAAGGCCAGATTTCCTTGCCCAGGGCACATTTTGCCCACCAAAATTCCAATCCTCTTCCAAGCACAACACTTCAGCAACTTCTAAAGGCGGGTCACATACAACTGGAAAGCAAAGATAGAGGCAATTGGAACATATGGAGCCACAACCAGCTTCCCTGGCTGTACCCAGCTGGCAACAAAACCACCACAGATGGAGGGATGGCATCCCTGGATTTAGTCATCTCTTCTTCCACACCCAGCAGTTCCTCTGCTAATTACAACCATGCCATGTAGCCTATCTGCACCACCTCATTATCCTTATCAAATACCAGGTTTGTTGTGCTGCCTGCAGCTCACTGACTGATGCTGATCAGTGCTCCTGGCACATCTGAGGCACAGGGAACACCCACAGGTTGGCTCCATCTGATCCAAACAAAAGGGCTGGAAGATCACCAGCACTGAGCAGTCACAGGCAGGTGATGATCTGGGTATTCCCTGCCATATTCCTTAGCTCAGGATGAGCTAAGGCTCACCCTGTGCTGCCAGAAGGGAGCTGCTTCCCAAGGATACCCTCTGAGGATGCCTGCATTCCCATTCCAATGTTTGCTGCCATGCCTCTCTTCAGAAAAACATGTATTTGGAAGGAATAACTACACCCCAAGCAGTTTGGACAGTTTGGACTGCATCCAGCACACTCTCTGCACAGAACCTAACCTGAGGGATCCTTAAAGTCACCTCCTGCCCGTGGACTTGCTGAGATGGGCTGTGCCTGGAACTGCTGAACATGTTGTATGTGAGTGCAGTAGTAGCACTCAAATTCTGCTCACATGTCTTTAAAAGCATTTACAGCGCCTTCGGAGAGCTTCCACCCTCTGGGAGAGACAAATATAAACCCACAAAACAGCTGCTCCCTGTGCTCTGGCTGCTGCACAAAGCAACAGGCAGGGGTTTGTTCCAAGCTGGAGCTCAGCAGGGCTCCTTTTTCACAGGAACAGGGCAAACAGGCTCCCTTCAAACCTACCCCAGGAAGGGGGGCCAGCCCACAAACTGAAATGTCAGTGCTAGGAGAACCCAGAAGTTTCCCCTGATGAGGAAGGAGGAGCTGGCAGGTGACAGGAGTGGCTCCTTGTGCTGCCAAGCAGCTGTTCCTCTGCACCCATTTTAGCTCACCCTGTGGGCAGGACACTCATGGGTGCACGTGGACACATCCAGGCCATCATTTGAACTCTGCAGAGCTGGTTTACATCAGGCTGGGGAGCCCCAGTTTGCCCTCACGCGATCATTTTCTAAAGCAGAACAAGACTCTCAAAATGCTCAGCATCAATAAAATCACCCCAAAAGGCAATGACTAATTGCCTGCAGTGTGAACACTGAAATCAAGTGACTTAAAATAAAAAGCACTATTACAAAGCAAAAATAAAAACCTCTGATGCAAGCAGGCTGCCTGGCATCATCAGCATTCACTTAATCCAGGAGGCTAATAAATAACTATGATTTAGAAGTCAAAATTTAGCTACCTTTGTTGCAGAAAACAGTGACTAATGGTA